TTGCGTCCTGAGTTTGCAACTAATTACGGTAGGAATGATGTCCTATGCCTATACTTCTGAAAGGGCCCTGTGAGGGGATCACGTTTCACAGGGAGTTTCCGAGTAACCAGCTGATAGCAGGTACTAACCACACCATACCACACCTACACTCGAAACATACTGCCCGGAAGAAGAATCGAAGCTGGAGCTCAAGCACGACCTTTGGAACACTCTCAGTACCTTGAAACATAGCACCACCTCTGGTACCTCAACCCACCCCACCTTCGAGTCCTTCGAAAACTCCTCCCCTATCCCACTCCTCCTCACTCGTCGCGCGCTTCGCGAGCGACGAGAACGGATCGAAGTGACCGAAGTGGACCGCGGTGGACCGCATCCGTGTCGGCATCATGCCGTGTCGCCTTCTGGTAGAACGCTCGCACTGGCCACGTCTCCTTTCCTTTCCACTTCTCTTGGCCATAAAGAAGAACACAGGCCAGCAAAGCACCAGGCAGCAGAATCCCAGACCTCATCAAAACATCAGAGAGCAGCAAGGTTGCAGCAAGCGTCCATAACTACAGATGGCGCCCACGGGACCATGTCGCATCCATCTTGAACCACCTCTTGAGATCTCTGAAGGATTGTACCACACCTCCACTGAACATCTCCACTTCCTTTCCCAGATTCATCGCCACAGGCGGCTCTCCCGGCCTTGTCGCCAAGCCAGCAACAGCCAGTGGCACTAGAAGGCCGAAGGACCTTTTGCCACAGGAGCCCGCTTGCGCAATCGCACCTGAAGGCGGCCGCGTCGAGGGGGACGGCGAGTTTCGTGCTGTTCAGTCCGGCGAGTTTCGTTCGGCGCACCCATCACCTGAGAGCGCATTGCGTGAGCGAGCGCAGTTGAGCTTTGATTATGTCACGTGATGGAATATGTGACCATGAGATATGTAACATCAACCTCTGAAGGCGTTTTCCGAAAGCATGTTCCAACAATTCCACAGTCAAATCATAATCCAAAAAAAAACTGAACGAAAGGAAACAAGTGTGGCCCATCAACGTCTGAAAAGAACTGAAGAAGAACCAAGGATTAAAACTGAAGAAGACATCGACATCAAGACAAACGTCGATTGCCTTGAGGAACCAACTGTATGTGGCACACTCTAAGCCCAAAAGAAGAGGCCAGCTATGGCTCAATCATGTTTTGACACCACCGGACCCATCTGGCAAAATCTCGGGTTGCGTAGGAATCTATGTTGCCCTGTAGGAGGTCTACTTTCGAGCCACACCCAACTCCATGTTACCCAGGTCCAATCTCTGTTCCGCTGTGGGCACCATAGGTCCATGCAGTGAGGCAGAACTGGAGAACCTGGGCGAGGCAAATCCAGGACAAATCTTACTAGTAGCGTCCGATCGCTCTTAGTAGCGATGCCAGGAGCCCCTAGTAGCTTCTTGCTACTAGTAGTACGGCCAGGAGCTACGTTCGTAGCGTCCGATCGTTCCTAGTAGTAAGCAGCTCCAAAGACCCTGTGACCTTCTGTTGAAACTCCGCAGCGCCTGAGATGTGGAAGCATATGCAGGATTCTGGATAAAGCTGCTAGACGAGTTTTGAAGACCCAAGGACCGAATCTTCGATTCCGCTTTTGTCTTGGGGCCCACTAGGGTCCATCAGGAATCTGCTCAGGCAATTGGGACAGAGAGATGAGACACGCACACTAGGCTCGGAACACCACATGGGGGCAACCCGGGATTCCTTTTTCCAAGAAACTGGAAAACTGCTTGGGAACCGCTCTTTCCCCTCTCACCAGAATATCATTAGAGGGAGTCTGTTTGGGAAACTGGCCACGCCCGGATTCGGCTCCAATACTTGACATTTGAGGCAGTCCCCATAAAAGAAACGCCAAGATTGCCTTGGGTCACCTCTGTGCATCTGCCTTGGATCTGATCTGCCATCATCCCAAGCCCATGGCCATATCCAGGAACCCTGGACTCACACCAAACGGCTTCATAGCCAAAGCACGCTCTCTTTGCCCAAGCTTAAGAGGGCCCAAGCAAGCGTCGTGACCTTTGGCTCCAAAAGGGCCTATCAGCAAAACGGGCACCGCACGGCATTCATTGATCACCCACAGTCAAGGCCAAAAGTCAATTCGTTTTAGGGCGATGAACGATTGATCTGGGATTCGGAGGACACAGGCTGAGCTTCAGGAACCGTTCCAAACAAATCCATGGCAGCACCAATGGGGCTACTGTACGTCTTAAGGCTGTCAGGTGGGCTCGGACGGAACGACAGCCTCGGTCCCAAGGAGCACCGAGGGTCCAACTTCAGCTTGAATGGACGCGGAGACCCGCGGAGACCCGTGGATAAAAGTACGTGGATGACAATGGATTGGTCGCAACGCGAAGGCCCAGTCGCTGCTTGACCAAGACCTAAAGTCATTGATGGATCTCTCTTCATCTCTCTTTCCAAGCAATGCACCACTTGCACTATATAGTCAGATCCAGTCTTGAGAGAAGTCACACCAGACCCAAAACTCAGCCCCACAGAAAGAAGCGAAAAGTTACATGAATCGATCAAATGAACCCAGTGGGCCTCCTTGGCGAGACCAACCTCGTCGTGAAGCATACAGGCATACCCAGCCCGATGCACTCAAAAGCGGCACCGAGGCTTCAACCCCGACCCCGCCTGACACAAATGGTAGATGGTGCGTGGCTGGACGCCGCAAACGACCAGTAGCACAGGCCTAAAGCTGCCGTCCGAGAGCGCACAGGCGGGCGACAGCCACATGCGTCCGAACACCGCGGGTCAACATGAGGGCAGAAGCAGAGGGCCTTTCCAAGATGTCTGAGAAACTCAAATCACTCAAATCACCAGTAACAAAGGGCATCGCTACGAACGGAGCGATCGGACGCTACTACTAGCTCCTGGCACTACTACTAGGAACAAGAAGCTACTAGTAACTGAAATTACTTTTCCCGGACATTCGCCCACATCCACAGTTCACCCGGAAGACTTCGACCATCGATGTCCTCGGCGGCACCGACGACCGAGACCGGTTTGTCTGAGATCCCGGGCTTCGTGATGCGCCAGTACCATGACACCTGTCACCACGAGTGGAATATCTCTGCTCTGGAGTAATGGATGAAGAAATAGGACAACTCAAGGACCAAATGGGAAATGGAACACTTCAAGCATACAAGTGCAGATATGCAGGGGTACCAGAGACCTCTTTGTATGTGATTGGTTTGAAGTGTTCTGTGTTCTACTTCACGATAGTTGTAGACCCTAGCCAGCTGCCACTGGGATAGGTGGGGAGGGCAAATCACAATCTTGGGCCTGCAGTCATCGATCTTCAGAAGCCTATATAGATCCACAGAGGGCCAAAGAGGCAGGTACTTAAGAGGATACCAGCCCCTCAATAGCCAAGAGGCACTGAGAAGTCAGCCTTGCCAGACCCAAATGCCACACCAGCCTCTCTCAGTCCCAAACTCCTCTCAGTCCCAAACTCCGCTAGTTCGCCCAGGCCTGTTTGAGATCCTTGCGACCTTGCTCCACCAGCTGCTGCGCCTCCAAGCGTGCTTCCTTCACTCGTAGCTCCTGGCGTCTGTGCGGTGCACATCCAGCTGAGAGCACTCCAAGTGTTCTGCAGTGCGGATACCAGGTTACAACATAAACGTATATATATAGATAACATCTGATATCAATAGCAGTTGCGATTCAAAAAAAAAAATGCAAAAGCTGAAATCTGTGGTTTGGACCATCCTCACCTGCCGTGGACATTAGGATTGGGAAATGAACATCCATTGAATCGAGCGGTTCTCATGTGCAAGATTCGTTTCGAAACTGGCTGCTTGTAAGGCATTGCCAACCATCTAATAGAAACCGGTTTGAATCTGCTAGGTTTACCGAGAATCTCCGCCTGAGGAAATGTTTGAAAAGGTTCGGCTCGTGCGACCGGCAGGGCCCAGCCGACGGCCACTGACGAAGAAAACGCACCGACCGACGCAGGTTCGACGGCCTTGCTAGCTACGAGGTCGGCTCGATTCTTAGAACCCCAAATGACGAGGTGAGCTGCCTGCACCAGGCTCTTCTGAACTTTGCCTGCCAACCAACGGCACAGCAAACGGGTCATGGTCCCCATGGAACAAACGGCTCTTCAGCTCAACTAGCAGTGACTGGCATCGAACAGGCAGTTCAATGCACCGAAAATGTCATCAAGCAGTCGTACATCCGGCCCCACAGTCGAGACTGTTGGGCTTCGTAGGCACGTGGCAGAGGGGCACGTGCCCGGTGCATGGGACGGGTAGAAAGCCAAAGCAGGTCGTCCAATGTGTCAGGTCGAACTGCTGGGCGCAGCCCGTCGAAGGGTGTCTAAGGGCCTCGAGGGCTTCAAGAACCATGGAGAAGCCTTCCCATCAGAACCCCCGCCTGTGCTCTCGTTCCTGGGCATCTTGCATGTGTACCTGGAAAGAAGAAGTGCCCAGCACACAGCGGGTCTGGAGATCGGTGTACAGTTTGCACTTCGCTTGGAGCTCTGTCCGCCCCAGCGATCCCCAGACGGTGTCGGCTGGTCTGGGCGCTTGAATGGCAAATGAAAAAATGATGAACAAAATTAAAAGCACTTCAGTAACTCAAGTTACCCACATCATTCCACAGGAGTTCCAATATTCTCTTCTTCCATAGAAGAAACATTGAATCTTTGTCATGGGGCAAGATGGGCATCCGCAGGAAGCTGGCATCTTGAAGGCTCTTCCGCAAGCCCTGCGGATTCCCCGGCTGCAACTCCTCAGCTCGTCCCCACGGCCCCCCGTGTCTCCCGACGCGTGCGCGAAGTCAGGAAAATCCAACGGGCACTTCCATCTTCCGAGTTGGTCTTTGGCTCCAAAAGCCGATCCCACCATGTCCCGCCCACCCACATCCGTCCCCAAAGCTCACCCCCGTCCAACCCCCCTAAGGACCTTCAGCACAATAAAAGCCACGAAGACCTTCCCCGCCAACCCCACCCCAAACACCCACCAGTGTTGGGCTTTCACCAAGGCGCCAGCACCACGGAGGCACCACCCTCCACGTGCAGTGGCTCTGTGATGCAACAGGCGCTCACCGCCCCCGCCGTCAGCTGCAACTGACGGCGGTCACTGGTGACGGAAAGGAGTGAGAGGGTTCAGTGACAGCGTACCACACTGGTGGTGTGGAGGGAAGGGAGCATGATTGTTCTTTATTGTAAGCTACCATGGTGTTTGGTGAATCAGAAATACTTGGATGATACCATCATCACCCACACAACACGGTCACACCAACACAGGCTTAAGCCATGGCCAAACATCTTGCAATCCTTTGTCCTGGTTGTACTTGGGACACGTTGCATCGTTGGCCATCCCAGGTCCATCCAGGTCCCCGTCCTCCGGCAGACCGCGCCTCCGCCACGTTGGTGGCCATCAAAACACCGCCTCGCACCTTCACGGTGCCGCCACCTGGCGGTTCCGGGGTTACGGGGGTTGGTTTTGGGAAGCCACTGATCTGTGGTGTTTTCTGTACAAAGCAGTAGATCTGTACTATCTGAGATCAAAGGCCTGTTTGCTTGAGCCACTGGATTTGGAGATTTGGGCCACCTACTTGGAAAAGCAAACCTCTAAAATTAGCTGCTCAAAATGTCTGATTGCTCACACAGTGCCTCGCCCAATGGAGACGATGCTATTGTCCGGTCGCATCTTGATGATGTCTTTGGGCACCAAGACCTTTGGGTCGCTGATCGGAGCACAAGGGGCTGATCTCACGAAGGGCCCATTCGCTCACGACCCTTCCTCTAAGGGCGCGCCAAAGGGTACGAGGGTACGATGGAGGTTTAGAAGGTCCTGGTCCGTCGGTGTTGCTGCGGACACCCTACGGACGCAAAATGGTATATGAACGTGTCGAGTCAAGAATGCGACCACAAGATGCCCAGCTGGACCAAGAGCATCTCTGATGTAACTCTAGTTGGGTTTACTTGATGTCCTCCTCTCCAGTCCTCGGACCTACTCCCCGCGCGTTTGGAGCACTTGTTTGGGCGAAATGGCAATTTGGAGAACTTACCACGGCTCATTTTTTCCACCACACCAATCTCGTCAATCAGTGGTTGGGAATATCTGGGAATACCACCCAATGTCCACTCCAAATCGCCACCAAGCGACCCACTCGCCATCAATCACCTCCAGAAGAAAGTGAGCGGGGGTGTTTCCCACGATCGCAAACCTTGGGTCATCCCCCATCTTTCATGAATTTGTTCACTCTTACATTGTCCATCTCTTATTTTTACTGATGTTCCATGATTGTTTACTTTGCATTATTTATTGTCTGTCTGTAGGTTTAATATGCTTGAAGGAACACCCATTGGATAGAATATTTTAAATCTATGGTTTTCATTATAATGCATTTTACAAATAACCAATAAGTTTAAAGGCTATGAATTTTCCTGTCCACTTTCTACCCCATATGATATGTCAATAAGAAGGTTTTAACCGGAATAAATCATTCCCTCCATTTTTTGTCTTCGAGGACTTGTCAATCCATACTATATTGTTCCGTTTATTTGTCTTTTCTAATCATATCCTTATCATGTGCTATTTTTCATGCAATGTTTTTAGTTTTTTTCCTTTCACTTTACCATAGTTTTATTAAGTATTCAGAAAATCCTATTTGATTCATTCATATTTGGATAACATATTGTCTTCTATGCCAGCAGTTCCATGGAGTTTGGTGCACACCACTTGGAGGAAGTCGGGGTGCCGACCACCCAACGACATGGAACTCCTCGTGAGTTGACTGTTTATACAAATCAAAACCCTATCTATCTTCACTTCACAAATCCTCTTGTCATCGGCAAAGTGTCACCATCCATGGTTTCCTGAGCTTGGGGGGAATTTCGCCTTTAAACTAGGGCGTTCCCGTTCCTTGGAATTCGATCAGCGAAACCCTGTTCTTCCCACCCAGGCTTGAAGAAGACCCTGCTTTGCCTTCCACCTCGAAAAGGCCGCTCCTCAACGGCCTTTCTTCATAACTTCACCCTAGAAGTCCAGTTCGACTATAATTTGGCCGACTGAAGTAAAGGAAATTCCTTTTTCGATTTCACCACCTGTCCCTTTTCGAAAATAAAAAACGGAGACTCTTCGGTGCCGGAGGGGGTGAACCACACCTCTTCCAGACCACTTGGGGTCTCAAAAAGTCAGACCTCGGCTCTGGCATCTCCACCGTCCGAGACTCGGTGTGGAGGGTTGGTTCACCACCATCCTCTTCCCCCCCCCCGGCCGTGCAGCAGGTGTTCTGCGCCGCCTTGAACATGTCTTGGCTCAAGGGTCCGGCACCGATCAGCGCTGGGCCATCCGGGGCAAGTCCTGGGAGGCGGGTCGTCTCGTCTCGCGGAACGAACGACCCGAACGCGGAACGCGGAACGCGTTGGACGAAGGAAGAGGTGTGGCGGATCCAGGTCACCGAGAGTTTGGGCGTTCTTGTTTGGACCTGCTTCGAAACGAAAGTCACCTCAGTTCTGGGAACTAATGTTGTGTGATTAGGAAACCCACTACCCTATACTACCCCATCTCTGCCACTGGACCCAGGGCTTTTGAGCAGTTCAAGTTGAAGATTGCATATGTTGAAATTATGGAACTGGGCATGCACTCTTTTCCACACAAGACACTAAATCCACAAATCAGGTGTGATCCAAAGCGAGTATGCCTTCACATGATGCATCAAATGACTCCCTTAACCAAATCCGGCGCAATCTTCTTGACCAGCCCCCAGTACTGTGGCCCTGACGTTCCACATAGCCAGGTGTCACCTGCACAAGCAGTTCCAAGCATGACTTTATTGGACTTGAAAGTCTCTCAAGGCTCCGAAAGCTTTGAAACACAAACTTCATCAAAATTCTACGGTATTTCATTTCTCTTAAACTAGATTGGTGGCTCACTCCTCTCACTCCCCCCATGATCATGCGTGCGTGTCGACCTCGCACCTGTGGCCCTGCGACGCCCAAGAGGCCGGTGATCTCGTCCATGGACTTGGGACAGGGTTGCAAGCTGTCATCCAAGATGAAGACCTGTCCAATCGAAGGAACTACTAGCAGCGGTGCATCGCTACGCTCGTCGCTAGAAGCTACTAGTAACAAGAAGCTCAACTCTGGTTGCCCCTTTTTCTCGGTGAAGCGACCGCAGCTGACCCGCAGCTGACCCCGGTTTCTCGCGATGAACGACCGCTCGGCGACGGCGTTCGGAGACAAGGAAGGGTTGCTCAGCCGATGTTCCTCTCTTTCTTGGAAGGTTGGGAGAGTCTGGTCAAGTGAGCATCTGTTCTGCGGTGAGACCGTAAGACCAGGGGAAGAGCTGGTGGGCTGGGGGGGGGTGACAAGCTGTTGGGGTGTTGGCTGTTGAGGGTGTGGCCCACTTGTCATTGAGAAAGGCATTTTTTCTAGCCTTGTGTGGAGCGGAGCGATTGAAGACTTGATATCTATGACTTCCCCTGCCTCTATCACAACAACTTGAATACTTTTTCTTGAACTTCGGCCAACTGCGTCACTGGTGGCTCCATCTTTGAGACAGCCTCTCCCCTCTGTACATATTCCACTATCAAAGACTACCAATACAATGGACTTTTAAAAAATTGTGGAAACGTCCAAAAATCTGCTGCAGCTCCCCAAGGCCTCAGCTGCGCAGCTCTTCGGAGGTCGCCTCCACGTCCGCCGTTTCCGCCCTGTCCGAGACCTGGGGTGTACCCGTTTCCTCGGTGCTTTCCCCAAGCCGCTTCGTTCGCACGCGGCCACGCGGGGTCAGGTGGTCATGTAGCCACATCAGCATGTAAAGCAAAGCAGGGATGGGGAAAAAGAGAATGTTGCTCTTCATCCCCTGTTGATGATGCACCTGCCAAACGGCAAGTGTGCCGTGGCAAGCTCCACCCAAAGCTCCAGCTATCACTGCCAAGCTCATCAGGAACTTTTGCATGTCTTCCCTGAGCAAGGTATGCTCCCAAAGCAACTTGGCCAGCAATTGAGCCAGAGTGAGTGTATGCCCAGCGACCATGGTCGTTCGGACACCCATGCGACCAATGCTACAGGCAGCTGCAATCACACCGGAAAAGGCGGCTAGAGGGACCAGAGTCCAGCGCAGGCAGCTCATCTCATCACAGCCAATGATAACATACATCACCTCATAGCTGGACAACGATCGAAAGGGCAATTTCTTTCGCACGAAAAGCATGCTTTTCTTCACAGCGCGATCCACAACAACTTAGAGGGTTCAGGTATTTATGTAATTACATAACAAATCTAACGCAACAACATGGGACTGGTCGAAAGATCTTCACAACAAACTACAGTATTTAAACGCCCCCCATCTCGCCTCGGTGCACATCAACATGGCTGCCAGGGGAAGCGCCGCCACACTGCCTCCCCGCTGGGGCCAACGGAGGTCACAGCACCACTGTGCGAAGGCACCCAACGCGTAGGATCCCCAGAGCGCCACATAGAAGAAGGGGCTTTGCAATGGCAGACCGAGGACCGTGTCGTCCGAGGAAGACATGGGGCGCATGGCCACACATCCAAGGAAGACAGCATTCCCAGTGATCAGGTGCGTGAAAGCCTGATAGCGAAGCAGGCTCACAACATCAACATAGCCAAAGACCAGTGCAAGCAAACTGGCGATCCACAGGTTGACCTGAAACCGCCATTGGCTTGACACCATTCAGTCCTGCACCCTTCAGTCCTTCGTCACGGCGATGTCATGTCCGCCGCCCAAATGGCTTGAGCCCAATGAATGAAGCAGGTACTTGGAAGGATCTTTGGAGACCTACTGCAATCTCACTCAGAAATCAGTATATTTTATAATATAGGTAGTTTCCTGCCAAGTTGTTTGGATATATGATGATATATGAGATCTCTTTACAAAGTGCTCAACCCCCTCCCAGCCACACGGAAATGCGTTTCCGGAAAGCACGGAGCCTTGGCGCCGCCCAAGGGCCGCATGGCATGAGCCTGACGCCCGTCGCAGGAGGCCACCTCCAGACCACAACTCGCAAAGGTCAAGAAGTACTCCTGCGAGTGGCTGGCGGAGCGGTCTGGGGACGGGTGACGCAGGGTCTGGGGACGGTGCGTACGCGCCAGGGGAGGTGACACTGCGAGTTGGGGACGGGGGTTGGGGTCCTCAAAAGGTGCACCCGACGGTGTTGCTTGTTGTCTTTTCGATTCGGGCTAGAAGTCTGACAGCCAAGTCAGCCCTGGAAAAGCCACATGGGAACCACTCTCGGCCAGTCAGGTCGGCAGTTGGACTGAGTGGGGGGGCGGTCATTCAGATCACATATTAAGAAAAGATGAGGCTTAACTTAAATCACGAGGCAAGTTCGTGATGTGTCAAAACCACAAAGAATAAAAAGCACGATATCATCAGGGGTCCTCAACAGTATATCATCACGCCAAGGAATTCCAAGTCTCCCATCTCCTCTGCCTTCCCCCAAAAAGCTGGTCACTCACATGCTATCCCCCAAACGGCCCAGCCTTCACCTGCCCGTGGCCACCCTCCACGTATCTCTACGTCTCTCCACGCCCCCCCCCTCCCCACGCTCCGTGGCAATGAGGAGGTCGGCCATCTTCACTCCGGAGGCCTTCCATGCCTCTATTAGCTTCTTGTTTCTATTAGCTTCTTGTTACTACTAGTATAAGGCACTTGTTACTACTAGTAAGGCACCTGTTCCTATTAGCTTCTTGTTTCTATTAGCTTCTTGTTACTACTAGTAAGGCACTTGTTCCTATTAGCTTCTTGTTTCTATTAGCTTCTTGTTACTACTAGTAAGGCACTTGTTCCTATTAGCTTCTTGTTACTACTAGTAAGGCACTTGTTACTACTAGTAAGGCACTTGTTCCTATTAGCTTCTTGTTTCTATTAGCTTCTTGTTACTACTAGTAAGGCACTTGTTACTACTAGTAAGGCACTTGTTACTATTAGCTTGTTGTTTCTATTGGCTTCTTGTTACTACTAGTAAGGCACTTGTTACTACTAGTAAGGCACTTGTTACTATTAGCTTATTGTTTCTATTGGCTTCTTGTTACTACTAGTAAGGCACTTGTTACTACTAGTAAGGCACTTGTTACTATTAGCTTGTTGTTTCTATTGGCTTCTTGTTACTACTAGTAAGGCACTTGTTACTACTAGTAAGGCACTTGTTACTATTAGCTTATTGTTGCTATTGGCTTCTTGTTACTACTAGTAAGGCACTTGTTACTACTAGTAAGGCACTTGTTACTATTAGCTTATTGTTGCTATTGGCTTCTTGTTACTACTAGTAAGGCACTTGTTACTACTAGTA